ACATGCGCAAGGCCTAAGCCTTGCAGGTTTAGGAGAGCCGTGTGGCGAGGAGCACGTGCACGAGATGGACGGCGCATAGGGCGCGCACGCGGGGAATCACGCGTGTAGCGCACCCGCGCATGGAACCAAGTCCACCGAGGACTAGGCGTGCGAAGGCGTGCGCATATGAGGCGGTGCGCATATGAGGCGGCAAGTACTTGGGCGTGAATTTGGAATTGTTTGGAGTGCAAGCCAAGCAAGATCAAGACAATCTAATTAATTAGGACTTTAGTATATTTAGTTTCCTTCTTGCACAATAATATCTAGATTGTTTAGGAATTTAATATTTAATTGCTTTAATTAGAGATTTAGTTGGAATGGGATTAGACTAGTCTAGGATCTATAAATAGGGATGCTCCCTCATTGTTTTTAAAAGTCTTGGATTTGATGAAATAGAAAAGAACGTTAGTTCGAAACCGTGTGTTAGGATTCGTGAGAGTTCGATTATACAAATCGAATTGGTGAGGCTAAGACCTGAGCCAGTTCAAAATCGAGTGAGCGAGGCTAAGACCCGAGTGAACTCAAGTATCGTGAGAGAATTAGGCTAATTACCAAGTCGATCACACCTATCGTCGAGAGCAAGGCCGTGGCGAAGCTGTGTTCGAGACAAGTCGAGTGGAACGCAACATACGATCCTTCATCATTGGTGCTTTCATTGAGAGTGATTGATTGTGGGTTGCGTTAAACTTTTTCTACCTCATTCTTTTTCTTTTTGGTCCGATTTTTTGTCCCTTTTATTCGAATTTTTTCGAATTTTATCCCTTAATTTTTGAAAAATTTCGTGAGTATAAAAAAAAAAAGTGTCATCTAGTCCTTTGTTATTTTTTTCCTCCCTTTGGTTCGAATTCTTTCGAATTTTTCTTCTTCTTTTTTCGAAATTTCATAGTCTTAAAAAAATGTCTTATGTGCCAATGGACGAGATGGATTGGGAAGATCTCGAATTGTTGGAAAGTTTGGAAAGAGAACTCACCCCATGGGAAAGCGCGTATCTAGACGAACTCCATGAGCGAAGAAATCTAGAAGAATACGAGCGACAACTCGTAGAGGCTGAGGAGCAAGAGAGGGTGAAGTCCAAAATAATGAAGATGATGGTGCGCTAAATTTTCTAATCCTTGAGGACAAGGAAAGTCTTGAAGAAGAGGGGAATGATACGGAAGTGGTCATCAACCCAGGCGAGTCCGAAGATGAGGATGGCGACGACCTCAACATTTGGCTGGAAAACATGCTAGAGGAGCCATCAAGCCCGATATATCAACCTTCATGCGAAAGGGACTGGCCGAGAGGATGTGGTCTACAGTCCAAGCTCAAGCCTAAGAAGCGCAAGACCAAGCGAGCCCGAAGGAAATGTAAGGCAAAGGCTAAGGAATCATGTTGTTGGTGCAAGCCTTGCATAAGGAAGAGGCGGGCATGGAAGATGGAGGCTCGAAGGAGAGGTAGGCAAAGGGTAGAGGACGGTTGGGTATGGCGTGCAGGAGATTGTGCTAGGTTGGGACCCATGGCCGTCAGACGAGCAGCCAAAGTCGATCGGTGACGAGAAAGCGAGCATGAGCGAATGGCGCGCATCGGCCCATGATGCGCGCGGTTGGACGGAGCAGGATACACGAAGATGCACGATCGGCGAGCAGGCCACGGGCGTCGACTGGGACGTGTTGGCGTTCAACGACAAAAGCGCGGGGCGCGGTCGGTGCGCAAGTGCAGGCAACGCGGGTGATGGCCTATGTCGAGCGAGCTTAGGAGTACCGGGCGCAAGCGCACACGCGCGGGAGGCTGGCAGCGGATGCGAGGCGCGCGCTGGGCGCGCAAGTGCGGATGACGCGAGCAAGAGCCGAGACCTAGAAGTTGTAGGAGTGCTGGGCGATAACGCGCGAGAGGATGGCCGAACTGAAGAAGCGCGTGGATTGGCGCGCGATTGGGGCGCACATGCGTAAGGCCTAAGCCTTGCGGGTTTAGGAGAGCCGTGTGGCGAGGAGCACGTGCACGAGATGGACGGCGCACAGGGCGCGCGCGCGGGGAATCACGCGTGTAGTGCACCCGCGCATGGAACCAAGTCCACCGAGGACTAGGTGTGCGAAGGCGTGCGCATATGAGGCGGTGCGCATATGAGGCGGCAAGTACTTGGGCGTGAATTTGGAATTGTTTGGAGTGTAAGCCAAACAAGATCAAGACAATCTAATTAATTAGGACTCTAGTATATTTAGTTTCCTTCTTGCACAATAATATCTAGATTGTTTAGGAATTTAATACTTAATTGCTTTAATTAGAGATTTAGTTGGAATAGGATTAGACTAGTCTAGGATCTATAAGTAGGGATGCTCCCTCATTGTTTTTAAAAGTCTTGGATTTGATGAAATAGGAAAGAACGTTAGTTCGAAACCGTGTGTTAGGATTCGTGAGAGTTCGATCATACAAATCGAATTGGTGAGGCTAAGACCCGAGCCAGTTCAAAGTCGAGTGAGCGAGGCTAAGACCCGAGTGAACTCAAGTATCGTGAGAGAGTTAGGCTAATAACCGAGTCGATCACACCTATCGTTGAGACAAAGGCCATGGCGAAGCTGTGTTCGAGACAAGTCGAGTGGAACGCAACACACGATCCTTCATCATGGGCTACCTGCGCGCGCTGGGCTGCCTGCGCGCGGCCTGGATGTGCTGAACGTGCACGATGGTTGTCTCGAGCGAACTAACACTAATTCTAAGAATTTACTACTAAGGCTCGGCTATACTTGGGCAAGACTTGCCACTACTAGGGCTCAAGAAATGCGTGGGCGCGACTTTTAGTGCACGTGGCACGTGAATGCTAAGGCTCGAGTCACGGACCACGGCTTGGTCCTACGGCACGGATGAACGCGCGACTAGGGTTCGGCACAGACGAAAGATATTTCGAACATAATAACCGATAACAACTCGAACTTAACATAATTGAACATTTAGCATAAAAAAATGAAAAACTCAGAATTGAAAAAAAAATAATATGGATTTCACTATATAGTCGAGCAGTGAAACTGTTCTAATATTATTTTTGATCGGGGCGCTACACTCTCGGTTTCTGGTGATCAGCCTTCACTTGCAAACACACCAGGCACTTATCCACAAACTTCGCTACCTGCTTATTCATGCCTCGCCACCAGAAAGACTTCCTCAAGTCCTGATACATCTTCGTGCTACCAGGATGGATGGTGTACGGGGCACTATGGGCCCCTCTCAAAATCTCCCTTTGCAGTTCCCACACTTTCGAGCCACAAAGTCTACCCTCGAAGACCAAGGCCCCATCAGATGCGACTGCGAATCCACCAACTCTACCGGCTTCTGAAAACTCTCTCATTTGGCATAGGAAATGGTCATTCGGTTGCTCGGCGACTATCCTCTCACGAAGAGTCGATCCCACAACCAAGGTGGTCAACATACCCTCTGCTGCTGAAGTCGACTCCACTGCCTCTAGCTCTAGTCGCTCGAACTTTTGAAGAAGGACATCTTGCTCGGTGAATAAGCAAGATAGCTTGCCATAACTCCTCCGACTAAGGGCATCGGCTACCACATTTGCTTTCCCAGGATGGTAGCTAATGGTGAAGTCGAAATCCTTGACCAGCTCCAACCACCTACGTTGCCGCATGTTCAGCTCCTTCTGAGTGAAAATGTACTTTAGGCTCTTGTGGTCGGTAAATATCTCACACTTGCCTCCATAGAGGTAGTGCCGCCAAATCTTCAAGGCGTGGACAACTGTAGTTAACTCGAGATCATGAGTGGGGTAGTTCTGCTCGTGAGGCTTCAGCTGCCTCGAAGCATAGGCTACGACTTTCCCTTGCTGCAAAAGGATGCATCCCAAACCCATCTTCGAAGCATCACTATAGATGGTGAACTCCAAAGTCGAGTCAGGAATGGATAAGATAGGCTCGGTAGTGAGTCTCCTCTTCAACTCTTGGAAACTCTCCTCTCACTTAGGACTCCAATCAAACCTCACGGGCTTCTTCGTAAGGTTGGTTAGTGGTTGGACTATCTTTGAGAAGCCCTCGATAAACCTCTTGTAGTATCCTGCTAACCCCAGGAAACTACGAATATCCGCGGCACTTCTTGGCGTATCCCACTTGCTCACTGCCTCAATCTTGCCGGGATCCACCTTAATGCCTCGAGCTGTCACGATGTGGCCAAGGAATGCCATACGATTCAGCCAGAATTCACACTTCGAGAACTTAGCATACAACTTCTCACGGCGAAGAGTCTCCAGCACAATCCTCAGATGCTCCTTGTGCTGGTCGATATCTCGAGAATAGACCAGAATGTCGTCGATGAACACAATGACAAACTGGTCCAGGAAAGGATGAAAGACCCTATTCATAAGGTCCATGAAAACGGCTGGGGCATTGCTGAGTCCGAACGGAATGACTACGAACTTATAGTGGCCATAGCGGGTACGGAAAGCATTCTTGGAAATATCCGACTCCTGGATCTTCAGCTGATGATAGCCAGAACGTAAGTCAATCTTTGACAAGACGCTGGCTCCCCTCAGCTGGTCGAAAAGGTCCTCAATACGGGGAAGGGGATACTTGTTCTTGACTGTAAAGGTATTTAAGTCCCGATATTCAATGCACATGCGCATCGATCCGTCTTTCTTCTTCACGAATAGGACGGGCGCACCCCACGGCGAAACACTCGGATGAATAAAACCGAGCTTGAGCAACTCCTGGATCTAGGCCTTGAGCTCTTGAAGCTCCTTCAGCGCCATACGGTAAGGGGCCTTAAACACGGGGCCAGCTCCCGGTACTAAGTCAATGGTGAATTCTACATGGCGGTCGGGTGGCCCTCCGGGCAAATCATTAGGAAAAATGTCGAGGTACTCGTAAATGATGGATACTCTCTCGGGTACTCACTCATCAGCAACGTCGGACACCAAATAAACAAGATGGCCTTGACAGCTACTTTTTTGAAAGGCTCTTCCTAGCTTGCATAGAAGAGATGAATCGAGGCACAGCTCGACTTCACCCCATAGAACACAACAGGCTGATCGAAATCGGGAAAGAGGGTGACTTCGCGCTCCTGGCACCGGATATCGGCTCGGTAGCGGGTGAGCCAGTCTATGCCCAAGATCACGTCAAAGTCTCGCATTTCAATTACATAAGCACCAACAATCAGAACTCGACCACCGATAGAAACTAGAAGATCACGAACCAAAGAATCGGAGATAATAACTTTCTCCGAGGCTAGACTAACCTCGAGAGGATCACAAGAACTCACAATGTTAATAGATAAGGCCTCCAAGCAACGAGAAGAGATAAAAGATGTTGGTGTTATATACTTAAGCTTTGCTTTAGTGGATATTACACTTGTTATTTCTTGATGAATGAGAATTATGTTTGGTTAAATAAGTTCCACGTTTTGTTGTTTTGCATGTAGATAAGTGGGTCGTGATCGGGCGTACCGAAGATCACTATATCAGTTACTTGCGAAACAAGAATCATTCGTTCACAACCTAGATGGAATTGAACAACCCATCAGAACGGTTGTAGTGCCAACCGTACGGTTTGTCTTGACTGATTAGTTGCACTAGTACATTTATGTATTGAACAGGATCCCAGAGAGGGATGTTCGTTTTATACTGATCGTCATAAACGAACTAGGCCTCAGTAAATTATTGCGTGCTCTTAACCCGTAAGATATTAAATAGGCATGTGCACATAATTGT